CGATTGTGAATTAGGAGCAGAGGAGTTAGGGGACAGCCGTGCCGGGGCAGAGAAAAAACCCCCTCTTCTTCTGGGATGAAGCACTCCAGTTGGAAAGCACGATCTGTGGCAGGCAGGAAATACTGGAGAGCTTCCCCTGGGGCTCTTTCCAGCGGCGAGGTGAGCAGGTGAGCAGTTATCTCTCAGCCCTATGGGTTTTGTTTATCGGCCTCCAATCTGTTAAACAAAGCTACTGATCCCTTGTGAACTTCAAACGCGCTGAGATTTCCCTCTGAAAACAGTAGCCTCACTTTTTTTTTTAAATCTGCCTTCCCCAGTGTATTGTTTGCCAGATCATAGATATGTTAATCCTTCCTACCTGTAAACAGAGAGCTGGGACAGGAGAAGGGTTAAAGGGTGAGTGAAGCTGAGCATTGTTGTGTGCTCTGTTTGTGGATAGCAGCTGCCCTGGTGAATTCAAACGAGTTGCCTTTAAAGCCCCCCCATCGTTTAGGACTATCAGCCACCATTTAGTGAATCTCCTAAAATGGAATATTTGCAAGGCTGAATAAATATGCCCCAGCTTTTCCAATCAAAACATGCCTTGACATTATTCTCCAGAAAATGAAAAATATAACAAACCTTGTTTTACTGTTTGTCCAAGGCATGGGGGGAGGGCAGAGGGGAGATTGGCCTGTGTGCCCAGGCAGGTCTTAATTACATGACAGTCATTTATAAATAATTGGATCAAATATTTTCTGGGGAAATGAAAGAAAAAGCAAGACAGATGTTTGGCACTTGGCTAAAAAGAGAGAAGGGAGAGAAAAAAAAAAAAAGGTGAGCAAAATGACAGTAAATCAAGGTTGAATGATGGGATCTGAGGAGCTGGGTCAGGGAGGAGGAATAACTGGCATGCATGCATTGCTTTTTAAGATTTTCCAGATGAAATGCAGAGTAAATGAGCTCTGTTATTATTACTGTAGCCTCCCGTGAGGTACAGCCCATGCTAAGGTATTGCTGTCAGCAAAGTTTATAAAGCTGGCCCAAGACCAGCTGGAGAACCCACGTGGGAATGGCATCAATTCAGGGGAGAGATTAAAGTTTCTCTAAGTGAGAGAGAGGCTGTTTCCCTTCCTCCCCCATTTTACCTTGGCTATTGTTGTTTGATATGTGCTGTAGTAATGCCAAGTGAGATTGGGGTTGTGTCAGGTGCTGTACAAATGCACAATGAGCGTCTTGGTGAAGGGGTCAATCCTTGCGATAGATAGGAGATGGATAGAGAAAGGACTAGTGCACAGATGCAAAGTGAACAGAGCTGCATTGCTCAGGAGGGCTTTCTTCCAAGGTGAGACTAGGTTGCTTTAAATCAACTCTCCAGTTAAAAGTTCACTTGAGTCAAACAGCCCATTGGGCTGCTGTGGTTAAGGCATACCAGTTTATGCAGGTTGTGGCATTCAAAGAAGTGCTGGTGGCTGAACATGGTGTGACCTGCTTGTATTCCTCAGTCCAAACTCACACTTGCAGTGCCGCAGCAAGGTGCCTTTACTACCCTGCCACCACACCTCTACGTACAGCAGCACACTCCTTAAACTCACATGGTTGGGGCCTTGCCTTACATCTTCCTTCTCTTCCCATCCCTGCACCCTGAAAATGCACAAGAAGTTTGGCTGCACAAGGGGAGCAGAGATGGTCTCAGTGGGGCATGAGCTGCCAACTGTAGCAGCTTGCTAAACATCTGCCCCGTGGACTAGGTGTTGGACAAAAGGCTCTTCCTTGGGGTGCTGCCCTTAAGTTACAACTCAGTGCAAAACGCTTCTGGAACAGGGGGTGAGGCTTGAAAAGCAGCGAGAGGTGTTAGGACCCTGTATGAGGAAAACAGCAGAAGGCTAAATGCTCCTCTTTGCAAGGGTGGGCTTCTAGGACAATTCCATTCAAATGCATTGAAATCAGTAGAGTTCATCTGCAGTTTAATGCCTGGGAAGAGAAGAATGAAAGAAGAACTCAATCCTAAATTATTCCAGAAATCTGTTAGGATGTTACTGCTGCTGTCATTTGCCTGTTTCCTTTCTGGTGGAAAGCTGTGTAGGAAAATGTTTTTCCCTGCTGTGCTGTTAGGACAGGCTGCCCCTTAGGTATCTCAGAACGACTTTGCAACCCAGGCCCTGGAGACCACAAGGCTGGTTTAAGTAAAGTCTTGTTCAGGGCTTGTCCTTCACAACTAGGGCAGAGGGCACCAATGGCAGCATACTGTCTCACGGGGCTGACCAGTTGTATTACCTGTCTCCCTCTTTTGAGGGTGTCTCCTGCATCAGTTGCCTATAACATTGTGGCTTGGTTTGAAGTGCCACTTGTTGATATTTAAGTCCCTTATTGCTGTGATGCCTGGCTATACCATCAAATTACCATGACCATTTCTGCTAGCGTCCAACCTTTGTGGGACCCCAGTGTCATATAACAGCTTAATTTACTCCTTACCATTGTATTATGTGAACTCCTAGAGGTTACAGTTGAGGTTGAAGTCCCTCTATGATGGGCATAGTAAGATACAGAGTAAAACAGTTGGTGCCTTGAAGAGTACACAGTCCAATCTTCTTTTTCTAATCCATGTTATGGTAAAGGAAACATTGGTATCACTATTTGACAGATGGGGAACTGAGGCACAGAGAGACTAAAAGTTTGTCTACATGAAGAAATTGACTGGTGTAGTGAGAGTGGAATGATTGTACCTCTGTAGCTTTGCTTGAATGACTTCCCATGTGAGCATTTAATTCCCAAGTAAAAGTGACTTTATTCTGGTATTTAGAAGCAGGGTAATTGTACCAGTATAAAGTCACCTTTATTCTACAATAGAATGCTCACAAAGGGAGTTATTGGGTCATAGTTATAGCAGGATAATTATTCCACTATAGCTGTGACAGTCAATTTCCCTCTAGATGAGCCCTAAGATCCTGGTTTTTAAAGGTATTTAGACAGTGCTCTGTTTAGTGTTGCAAGGCCTTAAATGTCTTAGGCAATTTTCAAAATGACTTGGGGACAGATTTGTAAGGGTACTTGGGTGCCTAAATATGAAAAGAGGTATCTAGTGGAATTTTCCAGTCAATTTTGATGACACATTGTGAAATCAGCGGGAGGTAGATGGGCAAATATTTTTTTAAATCACAACAGACACCCACCTGCATCTTTCACCCCCTAAGAATCTTGAGGAATATGGCCCTTAGGAGTGTAAATCCTATTGACTTCCAATGAGATTTAGGTTCCATAGTCTCAAATTGTTGGTGAAAATGTGAATTAGCCATCTAATTTGCTTGAATTTTTCAATGCATACTGAAGTGACATCCAAGCACCTTGACAAATCTGGGCCCAAGGGACTTGTCCTAGATCATACAGGCAGTCTGGTATAGAGCCAAGAATCTGGCAGAGCCCAAATCTTTGGGAGTCCTAATCTAGTGCCTTTACCACAAATTCCTCCTAGCAACTCCTCAGGTGTGGAACTTGCTCCCTCTGCAGATCTTTCTCCGTTTATCCATTTCCATGTTGACTAACATCTGAAAACAGTTTTGTGGCAGAGGTGATTATGGTTTTAGTGTGGCTGGGCCCCTATGCAATTTCCCCACCCCGAATTTTAGTGCAGGGAGAGTGCATCATCTGGCTTTCAGTTCTCATGACTGTTTATAACAGTTTTAATTGTATTCCACTTCAAATTGCTTGTGTAGTATCCAGCACCTTGGTTTGGTGAGCTGTCTGTAATTAATGTTCATATATTATTACTGGCAAAAAACATGTGCCTTGATGTGGCGTATTATAAATGTTTCAGTGGCTGTCTAAGCATACAGAGGCCATCTGTAGATGGTGTGTGTGTGCTTTTGGGCCTCCTCTCAGACTTCAAGGGGCTTCGAAAAGTTTACCTTTACTACACATTTCCATATGCCCTGGCCCCTTATTACAGAGGCCATATGTGTAGTAGTTCAGGGTCTGCAACTTCCCTAACACAGCATCTGTAATTATTTGATCTCTTCAGTGGGTATTTAAGGCACACCCACAGCCCCTTTCCTTATCAGATACACAGCTAATACAAGCAAATGGAAAACAAAAATCTGTTTTGTCTTCCCGCCTTTCTACCTTTTTGTACTGTCATTTGATTCCATCAGTTCTCCCTGAAATTATTTTTACAACACGGGGGAGCACACAACCTATTTTACTGAACAGAAGTATTAGAATTTCAGCAGATCTTTGGCCCCATTCTCTTCTTGTCCTTTCCTGTGCAGCCCCTGAAATGAGGAGAGCTGCACAGCTTGACTCACTGGGGCCTGGGTGTGCAGCACTTTGGAAAACATGGCTGTTTATTTGGGTGCCAAAATATGGATTACTGAGCCTAGCCTTTAAAACTGTGCTTTTGAAAATCTAGTCTCTGAGCTTTCATCTATTTGCATTAAGGCAAGTTTAAAAAATCAGTGTAGCTTGAACTCGGAGGTGTCAACTCTGCACCGTGCCCCATCTCTCTGTGATGCTGAGAGCGGCAAAAGTCCTGCACACTGAGGCAAGTGTCCCTGTGCTGCCTTACATGCCCAATGTAGAGGATGTGGCAGGGATTATAGGGAGTGCCCAATAAGCACCATGAGGGACTCTGTACTATTGAACAGTCCTTAGGCAACACGAAACAAGTGCTGTAAGTTAGAAGAGACAAAAGGGGCCATCTTGATTCCTGGACTGTCTGTGTTTCCCATCCCAGGTGGAACAGCAAAGAACCTCGCTCAGATGATAGAGTTGTCATTAAGAGGAATGGCAGTGTGGCCGTTGAATTCACAGCAGAAGGCATGGTATTGTGAAGAGCAGAAAAGTATATATTTATTATTATATTATTGTTTAAATAATAATAAAAAGTCTTTCAGAAGGTAACATTAGATTGCTGAAATGATAGATAATTAGAGGTGGTAATCTGTCAGCACATGGAAATGTATACCAACATTCAACTCCTGGAGCTGTTTTATTGTCAAGCCTCTTAAAAGTTTTCCCATAAACAAGTACATTTGTAAGACGTGAATATTATCGCAGATAAAAACCGGGCTTGTGTGCAGCAGGTAATGAGCTGGGGGTTTTTTCCCCCTCAAGAAAACGTCTGTGATTTCTGATTATCAGAGAAGTGAGCCAAGTGTGATTGCGTCCATGAAGTGTAACACACAAGGGCCAGACTCCTCACTCCAGTCTGCTGAGAAGCCAAGGGTGTAGGTGAGGCCAAGCAAGGCCCCTACACTCGTAAAATGGGGGGAATTGATGCTTGTTGCTGGACTGTGTCCTTATTCATGTGGTTAAAGCTTCTGTGGGTTTAGGGTGGCAGGGTAAACATGAGGGAGGAGGCAGAGCTGGGTAACAAGTGCAGTTATTTGAGATGTTCATTTAGGGAACCAGTGTTAACTTCCTTCCTTTCTCCGTGCTCTTCCAAGAGAAGGCTAAAGTCCAGGGGTTATATTGTAGGATGAGGGGAATGGGTGATACTGTCTAGAGCTCTGAATACAGACCAAGAATTCCCCTATACTCATGGCACCTAGATGTGACGCATCCGGCTTGGTCTACAAGCCTGTCACGGAGCCTGCTAGACTTTGGGCTTGGGTTACCTCTGGCAGGGTTAATTCACCCTTCCTGTCACCTTCTGGCTCTAGAACGATTGGAGCTGTTCTCATGTCTGGTTGAGCTCGCCTTAGTGTGGTGCTAGTCACAGCCGCAGTACTGGGGGCGCTTTCTCAGCAGCATTGTTGGAAGGCTCCTTCTGGAGCAGATTTCAAGGCCTCCCTGGGGTTTCAGTTAGGTTTTCATGCTTCAGTTCTGTTGCTGTTATAATGTCCAGTGGCGCTTGTATCAGCCAGGGGGAACCTAGCAGCAGGGGAACCAAATAAGGATGTCTGAAAGGAAATGTCAGCTTACTGTTTACAGGTAAAATGACTCTGCCAGTCCCCAGTGTTTGGAAGAGATGCCTGGGGTGGGAGCTCTTCAGTGAGCCATGCTAAATAGAGCCCTTCCGAGCCCTGTGGTCCCCTCCCAGTTATCCCAGTATCTCCAGTGCGTGCTCTTGAGTTCTCTATAGAGCTGGTAGATCCATGAGATTGGCACATCACATTACTTATTTGGATTTTCATAATAATTGGGAACCTCAGACACAAAGCAGAGAACCCCATGATGTTAGGGGTGGGCAAAATATGGCTCACGGGCCAGATGCGGGCTGCCAGGCCATTCTGTCCGGCCTGCAGGCCCCTAAAAATTTAGAAAATTAATATTTATCTGCCCCCAGTTGCCTGTCATGTGGCCCTTGATGCCTTGCCAAAACTCATTAAGCGGCCCTCCCCCTGAAATAATTGCCCACCCCTGTTAGATGTTGTACAAACACAGAACAAAAAGACAGTCCCTTCCTCAAAAAGCTATGCTCCTTTCCACTCGGTGATGCCATAAAGCCATCTCCTTCAGGATGAGGGGAGAAGGAAGAACTCGTTCTTACTCATGGGCACCTGCCACATGTTGGTTTTATGTTTTGTTTTTTCCACAAGAAGATCACACAAAACCTCGAGTAAATGTCCTGAATAAATTAAACGAGGGCTGTCCAAGTTGTAAGGGGCTAGGGGCTTGACAGACTGCACCAAGGTAAGCCTCAGGCTGCATCCTGTGAGGAATCCCCCAGGCTGCACCTTGCACCTTTGTCCCTCCTGCTTCTTTACTGCTGCACCATACGCCCCTGCAGGCCCTTCCTCCTCCTCCTCTCCCCATGGCACGGCATGCCTGTCTCCTTCTACAGTGTGAGCCCTACTGCTTTATAGTGTGCCCACGCATCCCAGGCTCATCCTCCGATCCCCCAGTCGTGCTGCCCCTGCCCTGCCCTGTTGCACCACCAGGACAGGAGTAGGCAGCGAAATCAGGATGAGGGAGGGGGAGCCCAAAGACTCTGGCTGCACCAGCAGCTGGAGCAGTTGGGAGAGCAGGAGCCTTGAGGGCTGCAACCTAACCCCTCACAGGCTGCATGCGGCCTGGGAGCCTCATACCTTTCCTCATGTAAAGGCAAGAAGACGGGCTGTTCTCCCCAGTACTGGTTCCTTCCCTCAATCTTGTGGGATGATCCCATCGTAGTGAGTCAGGTTGTGGTAATGCATATGGATTTCCACACTACATGGCAATGGGCAGCATGGCTCCTGAGGGGCTAGCAGTGTACTGCATATAGAGCCTGGCTCCTTTATGTGGACAGTCTGGCATGTGGCAGATTTCCTAAGGCATGTGGCAGATGCCTTTCTAATGCCCATCCATTGTGTGGAGAAGGGAGCTGGGGTAAATATTCATTCACCATAGGAATGAGCAGCCAGAAACTCTGGAAGCCCGGTCTCCATTATTCTCCCAGCACTTAAAGTAAGCACTCTTGTCGACTTCAATAGTCTCCCCTTTGCTTCAGCGAGCTTTGGATCAGACCTGTACTTAGACTTAAATCAGAGAGAATGATTTGGTCAACAATTATGGAAGACAGACAGTTGTGTCTGAATAAGTCCTCTTACCACTTGGCTTAATATTTTTGTCACTACAATTGCAGTGAATTCACGATGTACTGTGGACATCAGAGGGTCTTGCCATGACAGTCATCATTGTGATACCATAAGCATAAGAATGGGCTGGCACAGAAGGACCAAACGGTATTAAGAAGGAAATATTTGCAAATGCCTTTGAGTAGTGAATGGATGTGACAGGAGTAAAATCAGCACCTATTTAACTTTGGAGTCAGTGTCCCATTAGGCTCCTGAAACATTTAGGCTCTTCTGAAAAATTTGCTAAAAGTAATTTCCTGAAAAGCAAATGTAAATTAAACAGATTTATGATTCAATAGACCACATTATGTGAGAGGAAACCTGAAAAAGAAAAAGAGAATTTGTTTACAGTAAGTAACCAAGGTAATTGTGTTAATATGGGAATGCACGAATGCCAGATCATGGGTCAGGTGCCTATCTGAGCAAAATGATTGCCTCCAGCTTCATATTAATAACAACACGTTCCTATGGTAAATCTGCTTCTGTACAGTTTGAAAAACATGGGGGTTTCTGTTTCACTTAGATTTTATTCTCTGATTTTGTTAAACCTTCAGTCCTGGGAATAAGAAAGCTTTGCTGCAACCTCCATCCCAAACTCCAGGTTAAAGTAGATTACTGTACAGGGAGAACATGAAAGGAAAGGGGACATATACATTCTTGCATGGGTGTGTCTCACACTAGTTGTTAAAGCCATCCCATATCACAACTTCTGCACTAAGTGAGGTAGCATAAGATATTGTGTCCTTTATAGTCATGTATTGCTAGGGTGCAGTATGAGAACAGTTGAAGTATCTTGCTACAGGTCATAAGAGTGCAACTCCTGCTTGGTATCATTTGGAAGGCTGCCCCCAGTTACCCCACATGTGAAGGAATACTTGGTTGTTAAGGCTGGGCAGTGTAAGACTAGCCACCTCCTTTTATTGTATGCTGATGGCTACAGAAGGCTACCAGTGTGCCTTTAACATGGCCTGCTATGGCCTGCTAGGTTTTTTTATTTTGCGGGTAGAAAGAGGAGATGTTTTTAACAGCTGGAAAATAAAGATTACATGTTAGGAAGACAATGTGCAATACATAAGAACTAAAAGCAAAAGGAAACGGCCCATCCCTTTTACATGGAGATAAAACCTATGCTGCAGGGCAGTCTGGACTGCCAAACCTGACATTGTGATGTGCATGTAACTTTCCATGTCACGTATATGGGTATAAAACTGGAATAATCCCATTTAAATCAATGGAATCACACTGGTGTACCCTGTTGTCTTTTTTACCTACCCACTTAGGCACATTGCAGCACCTGAATTCAGAATCCCCTCAGAAATAATTGGATTAAAGCACTCACTCCTCCTTTGAGGAGCTGGAAATGGCTTTCTATGTGTATCAGCTGACTGGATGGTGCTGTCTTCATACATGGCATGGGAAGTCCTCTGCTATACCTTCTTTCTACCCAGTGTTTTTTATGGGTTTCTACAGGTTTGGGTAGGAGAGGGGTTTCCATCAGCAGACAACCACCATGTAAGCTACTTGAGCCATGTAATCAGATAAACTCCAGTAGTGTAGATGAGCACCATATCTCATCTATACTGACTGGCTCCTTTTGCAGCCACTGGCTTGGCCTTGTGCAAGGGAGGGGTGTACAAGAGACCTCCTGCAGGCAATATGCATGTTGGTCTATGCAGGATCATGCCCACAACAGTACGCAAACTAACGGCCAATTCCTGATGCATTTGGGTATGTATTTGCTGTGTTACAACATAATGAGCGGCACTGTATCTTGGCTGGATAGTCTTTGGTGGCTTGGAGAAGATCTATACAGGATCAGCCTGTGGTCTGCAACCTGTCATTCCCTGCTTCTAACTGTGGATCTGATCCAGAGCCCATTGAAAACAACCTCTAGTTTTCATGGGCTTTTCACCAGGCCAGTCCATCATGCTTTATACTTGTAGCTTTAAACAAATCTCTCTTTACATCCTTGGGGCCCGGAAGCTCCAGCTTTCTTCAGAGGGATGCTCATTTTAATGTTTTTTGTATTATCCATATGTTCATCTGGTATATTCAGTTCCAGGTTTCTGTAGTATCCATATGTTCATCTGGTATATTCAGTTCCTAGGATCTAGTATGTTTTATTTTCTCATGTGTTTTTTTTTTTTTAGATACTAAATGCTAGGAAATAACTGGCCACTTTACAAAGCAAAGCTAACTTACAAAGACCCTAACAAGGTAATCATTTAGAGCAAGTCCTGCATTCATCTGGGAGGTCTAGTGAAATTTTAATCACACAGTACCTGCCTTTTAAAGCTCCTCACGCTAAAGATGTAGACCACGTGTCATAAATACTATTTTAGTGGAAAAATGCCTACTGCAGCAGGACAATGCTTAATTATATGTAGGCTGTGTGTGATCACTGAAGACTGGAAAACAGGAAAGAGGTAAGTACATAGCATCCTCCAGGCTCTTTGATTTCAATAGGGGTGTTGCCACATTGAAGCCTGCAGGACTGCACATTGTCACCACATCACACAGAGAGCAGTGGCTAATCATCAGAGTATCTGCGCCTGTGATGGCTCTGTTGTGACTTGCTGTGGCATGAAGTACTTTGGACATGGCACTGTTTTTGCTGCATTCTCGTTAGCCATTTCCCTTTTGTGCTCTAAGGGCAAATCCTTCCCTCCTCACTCCTGGCCTTGCAATGAGTGCGGCAAGGATCCTCGCAGAGGGAGCTGCCTGGCGCTTGATCCGCACTGATTTCTGCAAGGCTGATTGTGACCAAATCGCAATTAACTGTGAGGAGCCTGCTAATGCATCGCCCCGTCAAATGCAATCAAGCTGCTGCTGCTCTGAGATCCGGAGATCTGGGAGCAGGATGTGAACCCCCAAAGCAGGCTCCCTGCAAAACTCTACAGCCCAATCCTGACCATCTCTTGCACAGTATTTCAGAGGGAGGTGGATATTGTCTACCCCCAGTCCTTGCTGCTGTCAGCCCCTTTGATTGAAATCTTGATCTCTTTTTTTTGTTTGTTTCCCGGGAAAAAAAAAAAGAGAAAACACTCTCGATGCTTAATCCAATTAGCTCGTTTGCATGTTTCTCCCGAACTCATTGCAAGCTAGTAAATATGCTCCAACAACTAGCTAATGTCTCCAGGATTGCTTTTCTCTATTTGCATAGAGAACACATCAGGGCGGGTTGTGCTCCGCGGTGCACCTTGTGCAAGGTTTCTGGTCGCTTTTCCTTCTTGACTCGACTCCGCGCTGTTTGCTTTGTTTTCCAAACTTGTGCAATGAAAGCAAACCCGAGGTGTGGATCTCAATAGGAGGGAGGATGGAGGGGAAAGGCTTGCCAGAAGACAAGCATGGGGAGGGGGAGGATTTCAGAACCACGGAAAGATGGTTTGATGACCAGCCGTCGTTTGGGTACTTAAATTAATTCGGGGGAATTCGGAAATAAATGGCAGTGTTTTCAAGCCGAGCAGCAAAAGCAGAGAGCTGCTTCATAAAAAGGTGCTTTTGCAAAATAATCTCTCTGTATACGCGCACGTGTACGCACAATGTCACACGCAATTGCACAGAAAAGAGTTGAGAAATCTGCTGGTTTAAAAATCCCGAATAAAAGTCTAAAATATTCCCAGGTCAGAGGGGCACTGTCTCATTAAAAGCACCATCGTCCTGAAACTGCAATGCAGACATTAAAGTGCAGTATTTTTCAATTAGAGCTGACGAATTCAATCAAAATTCCATAGATTAGGATGAAATGAGGCATGGGTCATTTACAGGGGAATTTAATTGCAGAGCCATTAGACAAATAGTATATTTGCCATTCTCACATTATCCATCATTTTAGACATCAATAGAAGGAACAGCATCTTTACTAATACTGCAGCACTTCCCAATCTCAGCCTGTAAACACTCCCTTTCCCATAGCTCCTGATTATATCTGATTTCATTTAAAGCCATGGGGGATTATAAATGTTCATGCAATCAGGTTCATTAGGACTTCAAAATCTCATTTCTGATTTGTATTGCTTTGCGGATCACCCGCCTCAGTGCAGCTTGTGCAAAGCCTCTGCTTTTAAAGTCAACTGCTACTTCATTACAGTGGTCGGCTCGTACAGTATTATTATTATTATCATTATTATTATTATTATCATCATTATTATTATTATTACTTTGCCCACTCAGTCCCAGACACATTTTTAAGGGTGTAAAAAAAAAAAAAATTCCCACGTCCGTATAGGCTCCCCCTCCCAATAAAAAGCCGGGACCCGATTCTTAGTATTGACTGAAAGTTTTAACATTGCTGCTTAGGGGCTCAGGATCAGGTCCCGATTCAGTAGCGCGTCTTGCTGTTAAAGTGTTAACAGCTCAGCTATGGGGATCAGACAAAATGCAAACAGAGGAAAGGATCTTGCAATACCCCATATCCGAAAAGAAGAAAAAAGGGGAATTGTCACTCCCCTGTGTAGCATCTGGGGGGAAGGGGAGGCTTGCATTTCTATGCCATCGAGCGTTGCAATGCATCCCAGGGGTGATCTCTGGGACCAGGGGAGTCTTGTCATGGTCTGAGATAATCTCGGGGATTATTGGATCTAAAACAACTGTCTGTGGCAGTGCCAGAATCCCCCCTTGACCGGGTTAGAAACCTGAGTCACCACTTTAGCAAGAGCTGGACCATATTGCAGGGCAACGCGGATCTGTCCCCAGTAGCCTCGGTTGAAGGAGTCACACTGAGACCAGCACAATGTTCCTAGTTCATGTTCAAAACACACATTTTTATTAACTTCCGATGACTCATTTAAGTATGGGGAGTTTCTATGTGCATGTAAAACAACCTTGATTTCTCTAATATCTATCTATCTATCTATCTATCTATCTATCTATCTATCTATCTATCGGTGTAGATGTATATATATATATAGATATATTTAAAAAGCCAGGGCGTCGAAGCTCGGTGCTATTTGCATTTTATTGTTGCAAGGCACAAACAGAACCAGAAAGACAGACTAGCTGAAGTCTCGGATATTTTCTCCATAATAGCACTTTAATATTAACTGCATTTCATAAAACACATTCGTATCCAGATAGACTTTAAAAAAATCCAGAAAACCCTCATTTCACCCAGATGTATTGTGTGCTCATTGCTGTGTTAGCTGCCTCAGTAATTTAATTGGAATGAAACGTGAAAAATGTGTCATTTTTGAAGAATTTATGCATCACTTCCTAGAAATCTCATTGTGTTAACTAGCAGCCTACTGTGTTCTGTTTAGCAGTCATAATCGCATTTTTATGTGTCTCTGTATTATAAGTTAATGTGACCTCCTGTCTTTAGCTGATGAAAAAAATGATCCCTTCCCATAACATCTGCATCAAAACAAGGAGCTGGCAGGAAAATACTGAGATGTGCATTTCGAAACCTTGCAAGGAAACTTGCTAACTTTGCTCAGAGATGGGGAACAAAATATGTATAGGGAACTGCCTACCACACACATGAATAATTACACCCAGAGTAAAAAACCCTGCATTAAGCGTTGTCGACGGCAGCTACTGCGTTTTCCATCATGTTTATTGCTTACAAATTACATTACAAAAGAAATTTAGTCCCTTTTTATTGGAGTGCTTAAGCAAAGACTGTTAGTGTTGCAGAAGCACTGAAATGCCACTTCTCCAGATAAGATGTCGTCTGCAAACCTATGTAGTTACACTCCAGGGTTAAGTGTATAATTTTACTAAAGGACTCGTTGAGAATGATGCTGTCATTATAGCATCAGGATCTGAAAAAAAAAATAGAGGCAACTTAGAATTGCATTTACGTACAAATACACAGCCTATAAAAATGCTGGAGCTGAATGCAGAGAAGGCAGGAGCACAACCCAATAATCAATATTTTAATTACGGGATCTCTCTTTTATTGGGGTGGGAAGGGCTGTGCAATGCTATAGGCTCCTATCGCTAAACAAGGCTGACAAGTAGGATGTTTTTAAGCCCTCTGGATTGTAATGGAGAAGGATTCACTCCCCAAGCCAAACTCCTGGAGCAGGTAACTCCACTGGCCGGGCGATGGGTGCGACTGTTGTGCCTATGGCGCCACCTGGGGGTTGTCATAAAGATGCCTTTAAACAATGCGGCAATCCCAACTCCTTTCAGACGGGCTCTTTCTTAGCTACAGAGAGCGTTCTGAGAGCTTTTGCACCGTGGCCGATGATGCCTATAAACCTAGATGCCGATCTAAAGCCTCCCACAGGCTTTTTGTTCCAGACCTGGGTTGGCAAAGATGACCAAAAAAACCAACAAACCCCCTTTAAAATGGTTGGGGTAGGAACATCTGGTTAAACCAGTGACATCTGCATCAAAACAAGGAGCTGGCAGGAAATTAGGGATTTAGAAAATAGAAACTAGAGATTTAATTTACTATGATGGACTTGAATTCATATTCAATAAATTATAGGCCACTCAAATGCTGTGCATCAATTAAGACCTTTCTCCTATTTGCAGGTATCCAGGTTGTAGCCCTCTACTCTAGAGGCAAAAAAGAATCAGGGCTCGTGGTAGAGGTGATATCTTTTATTAGACCAACTAGATTTTTGCAATTTTTAAAAACAATCTAGTTGGTGTAATAAAAGATATCACCTCTATCATGAGTTCCGATTCCTTTTTGCAGAGCAGTTTACCTTTCCATTGTGGTTACATGCTCTGTTAGATTATACTTTGGGCTGCCTGTTTTTACTACCTTGTCTCACGTTTCCATTCTGAAAGAATTAATCACACGTTATGACTATTGCACTAAAATATGTTACTTTATTGAACATACCCCAGGGAGGAGTTGCCTGGCTACTATTTGTGACAGGTAAAATGTGCCAATATGATATGTGAATATTACATACCAGTGTAGTATGTTGTTGCGTCCTGTCCATCCCCCCACATCCCCCCCAGTACTCATATAGACACAGTCATGACAAAGACAAATTGAGAGGAAATTTGCTGATTCTGATATGATGGAACTTGAAGCTGACACTGCTTTACAGACTGAAAACTGTCAACCAGAAAAAAAATCTGGAAACAAATCAACCTGAAAAATACTACAGAAAATCAAAAACAAATACCTACCCCAAGTCATGGCCTCACTGATACCTGCTGAGGATTTCATTATTGCTATCAAATGCATATGGAAGGGGCTTTCATACTACAAGGCTGGGTGTCTGCATCGCATGCTCAGATAAATAAATAGATCTAAACACATTTGCTTCAAATTTTGCAAATTTAGTACTTGGCCTTCCTGGCGCATTCCTTCTGGAATGATACAAAATAGTGTTCTGAATTAGGCCTCAATTCACAGGGTACCCAAGTGTGTGTGTAACATTTAGCAGGTCATGTTCTGGATCCCGACAAATCAATGAGACTCTTCAGGTGCTTAACATTAGACATACGTTTGCTGATCTTGTGCCTAATTCCTTTCCCCAGGATGTTTTCTTGCACATACGCAATACCATGAGCTACAGCTAACGGAGGATTCCTCACTCTAGTAGGCAAAGGTAGGAAAAGATTTAATGATTGGAAGTTGAAGTTGGATGCATTTAGACATGAAACAAGGCACAATGCTTTTAAGGGTGAGGATAATTAACCATTAGAACAACTTATCAAGCACTGTGTGGCTTTTCCATCACTGGGGAGTCTTCTATGTAAGACTGGATGTTTTTTGCAAAAGGCATGTGTTAGTACTAACAGGAATTAATTCAAGGCCTGTAATATGCTGGAAGTCAAAGTATATGTTCATAATGGTCACTTCTGGATTTATAATTCACAGGTTTATACTAAAAATGGGTGAAATCTTGCTCACACAGAAATCAATAAGAATTCTGTCATTGACTTTAGAGAGTCGGGGATGTCACTCATTATATAATGTTCCTTTACAATACGTGCTGTAGACTTGGATGTTTTCAAAACGAGCCAAAGGGATGTTCCTTACTGATAGCCATGGAGCATTTATTGGAAGTTTGGCAGACAAGGTTCTTTGGGTGAATCTGATATCTTTTATTAGACCAACTAAAATGGTTGGAGAACAATTTTTAAGCAAGGTTTTGGGTTCAAAAACCCTTCGTCAGGCAAAGGAAGTTTCAGCAGTTGGTGTGTGCTCTTCCTGGATGGAATGAAAAGTAAAAAAAGCCAGAGGCTGGGCTGGTATGCATACAAGACAGGCAGTCAGCGAAGTTTGGCACTTAACTCCCTTAAGCTTGTTTGAAAACCCCTGATCTCCTACTGGGATGCCAGAGGGTTAAGAAGGGAACAGCTGCTATCATGCTAAATCTCCATGTTTTCATCAAAATTCTGATACTTAGTTTTAATTTTCATTTGTCACATGTTAAATATTCTTTGGAAAAAACACAGTACTAAACAAAAACCTGACATTCTTCCCTTCATCTTCAAATGGAAGCTCCCTAGTGGTTTTGTGTCAGTCTATGCTGTGGCGATTTGAGGTGCTCCATCATGTGCCAAGGCCTGGTGCACAGAGATCCCTCTTCAAAGCTGAGTTATATGCATATTTGTCAGAGGAGATCCTCAGAGTATCTTTGGAACCATTACAAGCTGTTCAAGGTAGCCTGGAATCATTTTAATCATAATGTGAATCAAATTTTCTGGTTGTACGTAGAGCCAGCTTTCAGTCAACAGCTCTTTCTTTGAAAGAGAAAGAATGGGCTAAGAGGGCCTAGTCTATATTACAGATTATCCTTGTCAATTGCTGCATTCCATCCAATGAATGAGTAATGAGACCCGAATAAAGACCAGTTCTGTTTATTTTGCTTGCTGGAGAGACCTTACTAAAATCACTGGTGCAACCCATGGGCTGGATCTTGCTGATCCTTACATGCATACTTATATTTATGCTAGTAAGTAATTCTATTCATTTCAATTAATCCCTTATAACACATAAAATTCACATATACCTTGCTTATAACCCCTGCTAAGCATTTATTCACTCCCTGTAAGTGTAACCATAATATGAAGTGTGATTAAAAAATTCTATACAAAGTTTCAGCTCAAAGAAAATGTGTGTTTATATTATAAACCACTGAACCCCCCCCCAATTATGATGGAAATAGGTTTTTAACTCTAATGAAACAAAAAGTCCTACTGTAAATACAACAAAGTGGAGATCAGTCAGTGAGAAGACTTCAGGAAGATTTTAGTTTGGTTCTTATCAGCTCTTCAAAGCAGTATTCCTTCAGGTTCTAACAGCAGGTAGTTTTGTAGGGATTTGGGCACTGGTAGTAAAGGGATAAGGGAGTGGCATTGGTGGCCAAACTTTTTCCGAATGGCAAAGCGGCACAGATGTTGCAGACACCGGGCTCTGCATGACAGCTTAAAGACAGATTCATAGAAAGTGATGTGCCTCTGAAAGGAGAGAAAATAAGTAAATATTAAATTCAAGCTTTGGACAAGTTAATCAGAGCATTTTCCAGTTCAGAACAGTACTGATTAGACTAAGTTTATGATTACCAGTATACCAGTATGTTCATGAATGAATATTACAATATATTGGTGTGATACTTGGAGATAAAATGTAAAGGTAAAAGTAATTCTTCTAAGGAAGGACCACAAATAAAATTACTGCAGATACAAAATCTTCAAGAAAATCTTTTGTGTGTGTGACTCTAAATGCAGTAACTGCCAGTAAAATTCTGGTATACAGGTATAAAACTGTTGTGTGCGAGACTATGTTTAATCCATCAGGGAAAACAACTGTAGAATGCCATTATATGAGAGATTTTTGTCTTATTTTCAGGTGTGGCTGGGTTATACCTAAAGAGATGAAGGAATGAAATTGTATTCACTAGAGCTGGCAATCAGTTGGTTAACACTTAGAGATGAGGTGTGGCTTGGTCTTCATTTAAAACAATTCCATTTAAATCAAGCTGGGGGAGGGGGGAGAAGAGGATGGAAGTTGGGGTAAGAACATACTTTATTGGACAGAGTAGGAAGAACAGCTTTGTGATTAAAGCTGTGCACTGGAGACCTCTACTCTATTTTGAAGTCTGCCACACACTTCCTGTGTGTCCCTGGCCAACTCGTTCAATCTCATATAGGTAAAATGTTTGTTGTGAAGCTAAATGCATTAAAGTTTATTAGATGTTCAGATGCTACAGTGTTATGGGTCATGTGATGACCAAAGATAGATAAAGTAGATAATCTGGAGTACATTAGTATACTAGCTGGGCTGCATCTATATTTTGTACCACTTCCTGCCATGAATTTCACTCGTTTACCAGTGCAACAATGATGGCATAGTCATCTTGTGCTCTAACACTCTGCTGTTGACTCTTCACTGCTTCATCTTTTCAGAGGACTAAAACATTTTCAGGATTCTGTAATACATCTCATCAGGAAGGGATCTGTCCTCACTTCCAGAAACAGAAAAACACACCAAAACAAAACCCCAGCTTAAGTAAATTTTTCCTGAACTTCTAAATTTGGTTGAATGAATCCAGCCTTTCTGTAAGAGGCTAAAGGGACGCAACTCCCCTGCTTTTTCATGGAAGAGAGATAGTGCCTCTCTACTCCTCCACTTCTACATGCCTCACCTGGGACCTGGAGCAAACTCCTTAAAGAATGAGAGGGCAATTTGAATTTCACTCTTTGGTTTCCATATGGAGATGGCTGTGGAATGAATGCCCAGTGGTTTTGTGATGTGGAAATCTGCCAATGACTTTTGGCCACTACTGATCTTATGATATGTGTGCCCTGAATGGAGCAGGGGTCTTATTTATAGAATGCCATGTGCTTATGTCGTTTAAGATTGTATCAAAATGCACACACGCAGGATGCACCAGATGAAGTTTATACATAAGGCAAACTTCAGTCTGGTGTTTCCTAATGTATGAGTGGTTGACTTTGTTGCCTTCATAAAGGTCTTTTGATGCAGTTTTCTATGTGTAATTGTTTACAGTGTAGTAATGTTTAGAGAGGTGTGTGGGGCCAGGCACTATACAGACACCTGGTAAAAGGAGAGTCTTCACTCCACAGCTTTTACAAAGTATCTATGCAAGACGGCAGCATAGGGAGAGAAAGCAGTTTAAGGGAGGTCACAGATCTGTGGGAGGACCAGTTTCCGAAGTCATATCCAATACCCAGTGCTGTCTGTGTCTCTGATCTGAGATAACTGAACTTGTAATCTGGAAGACAAAGACTCTCTTTTCTTTTATCTCCTTCTCTTAGCTGTTCATCACCCCTCAAATATTGTTGTTACTTTCCAAGATTTAGAGAAAAAAAAAAGCAAAGCGAATGAAACCAATTCCTAGTGTTTCTCTTATCAAGGACATTGGGTTCAGTAGGTAGGACTTGTGCAAAATTTGATGAGAGGTAAACTAAAAAGGAGTAGTTGGCAATTTTGTCCTTTTAGTTTTTACTTCAGAAGGCTGAAGGTGCTTGCCTTTGTGTTGACCGTCACCACTTGGTGTACATTATCCATGCTACTTCCTGTGTAGAAGTGATATTAAAAATATACGTATTTGTAATAATCTTGGGACTGCACTCCCAAACTGATGTAAATAAGGGGAATCTATGAAGTTAAATCAGTGTAAAACTGCTGCAATGAGACTCTGATCTGTACGTAAAAGTCCCAGAGGGACCATCCTTTCTAAGGGAAGCTTCAACACGTTTTATTTTTCATCTTGGATTTCCTTCTTTTCATTTGTACAGACTGTCAGATACTCTAGCTCTCCCCAATAGCATGTGAATGTTTTAATTTTTCAGTGGAGGATCATTACTGATCATTTTAAAAGCAAGGGGTGTGGATTTCCTTTGTCTTGTACTTTGTCTGCCCATCTATGCCTTTACAAGATAGATAGCGGAGGCAGTCATTCTAATGGTGAGGCTGATAGGGGCGATACAAGGGTTGAGTCCCTTATCCATTGTTTAACGAGGTCCTGGGCCCAGCTGAGTTCTAGCTAGTTCATGCTGGTCCAGTCAGCCTACCTGATTGATCCTGGCCCTCCATTTAAGAAAACCTCTCTGTCAGGTGACTTTTGCTGCACAAAACATTTTGTTTCCCTGGTCTACACAGCTTCACCCCCTGCCTTGATTTCACTCCTGGTTTCTGACTCATGTGACAATTGGCTCCTGGCCATAGTTTGTCTCTGGCTCCTACCCTTTGCCCTGGCATTCTAGCTGCAGATTTTCAGCATTGAACCCTAGCCTACTACCTTGGATCTGTCTCTTGCTTTTACCCCTCTGACTTGGCTTGTCAGGCTAATGACCTCTGGCTTTTGACCTGCTCCTGGTTTCTTACTAAATGTTAATGCACGTGGCTTTAGCTGTTAGCTGGAGCTACCCCAGACCAATCATGCTAGGAGGGAACTTGAATTGCTTGGAGTTACATGAACGTGGGATTGCTTAGTACTCTCAGGAAAGGGATTTGAACTGCTGATTTGGTAGGCAGACCTACTTAACTGGTCACAGGAACCAGCCCACAACTCACTCACCTGAAATATTTCCTCTGGGATAGCTTCAATCCATTTCTCAGGAATGGGGATCTGAGAGTAGGAGTTGAAGAGGATTTCGATGATCTCTGGCACAGATGCACATGACCTCAACACCTAGTCATGAAAGAATGAATGTAGAAGTGATGTTATGAGGTTTCACTGGGGGGCTGGAGTGGGTGCTCTACTCTCCCCAGCAGGTAAGTGTCTTCATAAGCTGAAACATGAACCATCTGAAGCTTCACTTCCCATCATGTCACTTGTGGAAGAATCAGATGTTTCACAAATGGCAGCCTGTCTGTTAGCCAGTTAAATGTGTCACTGCTTGTGGATGGTGCCCTTAGTATTGAGAAAAGTTTGGCTCTGTGCAAGTTCCTAAATCTTGTTCGCACATGAAATTATTGGAAGAATTATTGTGACATTATTTTCTTTGGATGCGGCATTTGCCTTTTGCTTACATGTTTGGCTTGTACATTTCAAGCTGGGATAATATTTTCTTTATTGTTTGATGTAAAATCAATGAAACGCAAAGCCATAATGAGACTGCTCTGAAGGCAGAAGTACCAAGCTGGTCCCCCCTGGCTCTGAGACAGGGTGATTTTGATTCTGCTGCATCCCCAAATGGCTAATTATGACCTATCCTAACCCCTTATCCACTAGCCATAAACTTATCACTGCTGAATATTACATTCTACTTTTTGACACTCCAAGCAGGAAGGGGGGACTCTAAAGATTTCTTTCCTCTCACAAGCCAAAATGAATTTGGGCACTCTCACAGGATGCCAGAGAAAATATATCTGCTGTCTCTGACTATGGTAGGGAGTGCTGCAATGAGTGTTTCTCTGTGTATATCAGATATCAAAAAAGTAATGTAACTGCCATTAGAACAGCATTAGGTATGTGCACACCAGAGCCTGGTCCCTGAGAATGGGGCTGGACATGCATCAGACAGTATCTACAGGATATATCTTTGGCATATGGTACACCATCAACAGGAGTGAAAAGATGGGGCATTTTTTCTCATGGTGGAATGCCATAGCATGGTTTGACAAAAGCCACCATTTTACAAAGCAAGGCCTTCTAGGTAAACATTTTAAAAGTACCTAAATGGGATACAAACCTGCATGATCATTGAAAGAAATTTCCAAAATGTATTATGGAAACCCTTGAGGTGGTAAGGCCTTCAGGTAATAAGCCTCATTGCAGGTCAGTGAATCTAGGGCTTCTGGGTATATACGTCCATTTTGAAAATGGGACTTGAGAGCCCAAAATACTTGGGCATCTTTAAAACGTTACTTCTGCAATGACACAGCATTAGAACATAAATACAGACTGGCTTGTTACCATTCTTAAATGAATAGTGGCTCAAAATTCACTCCTTGACCAGTGAACTGGGCTAATGCCTTCCTTTAAAAAAGGATATCTGTCCCTTTCTTCCCTGGCTTAACGAAGTGAGAATTTAGTGTACAGGAAAGGTGGTGGCTTGACAGCTTTGAAGAGTTAGGTCTTTCACTCAGAAGAGAACACTACAAACTTCAGCCCTCACAGACTCTAAGGGCTTGTCTAAACTGCAGAAGCAATGTGTCCCAGAAAGGATGGAGTGAGCATGCTTCACTAAGGCTGCTTTGGGTTTGTCCTCATGGCAGCTCCCCAGCCCCCTGTCTCTGATGGGCCTGAGAATAGCCACTAGGGATGAGCTCAGGGAAGCTTCACTGATGAACTTCTGGACCTGGAGCATGCCAGTGGACTAAGATAGGCGGGGGGTTCTTGGCTCCCTCTGCCCTGGGACTAGCTGCTGTAGCAATCTTGACAAGCCCTAAGTCTATATCTATACCACACTCTGCAGAACCTGGGACCACTGCTGAGACCATCTGCTCTTGCTCTGTGTGCCCCTATGCCTGGCAGTTAGGCAGAGCAGGTGGCTTAGAAGGGTTTTAGCTGCCTGCTCCAGCATATCACTAAGGTTCTTTCAAGCCAGAGAGCTAAAGAGCAGCACCGGGGGATTTGCTCAGGACCCCTCTAAGCCATTTATGCTGCCTGTTTCTGGGCTTGGTTGTGGATATTTTCTTCACAGTAATCCCAAGCTCTGCCTGGAGGAGTGGGAAAGAGGCCATTTCTCTTTCTATCAGGACTGCTGCCAGAGGTGACAACTGATGCCAGTGGTGTGATATAATCTCCTGTTTGTTGGGACCATTTCCCACAGCTTACTGAAAAAGCTCTTAGATGCTAACTGCTTCCAGTCATTTCTTTTGGGCTACATTTGAAACAGTGATTAAGAGGCAAACTTTTCTGCAGCACTTTCAAAATCAAAGGTCTGTCTGAGCCTAGAAAGCCATTTGGGCTGGCAAGGGTAAGGAGGCATGCTGGTTTCTTTAGCCAACAGAACACAAGGGAGCAATGACAGCCATTGTATAATGATAGCCACCAGCCCAGTGTTATCATCACTGTCCATCGTGTCCCATCCTAAGGTATCCACTTGCAGCTGGACTGACTCTTGATAACCTTTGCTCCTGGCCTGAATCTAGACTCAAACTCATGTCTCTGGAATTTCAATGAAACTCCCTCACTGCTCTGCCCCTGCACACATACTGCTTTATTGATCCCCTATAATAACCTGTCCTCTTGAAAAGGTATCTTTAATATGTAAGCTGGAGGATCTCAATCTGCATCTAGTGAGTCTGCAAGACCATACCTTTACAAAGGCTGTAGGCCATATTTTTTGGGAGCCATAGTTGAGCAGTGTCTGCACTGTGAGATGTGGCCTCAGCTCCTGCTTGAATGCTGCAGTCTGCAGAACGCAAGCCATTGGGGAGGATCCATTGTAGTCTATAGCATTCACATCTGCTTTAGTCTGCAGCAAAAACTGGACCAAGCTGTAATTAGCATTTTTGCAGGCTTTGTGGAGCGGGCTTTTCTGTTCTTCATCTGTGGTATTTACATCTGCTCCATACATAATCAGCAATCTGCACATCTGTAAGTAGATTTCTTGGTCCTCAACATTTTTTCCTTGTCCACAAGTCACACTGAGTGCTGTTTCTTCCTGACTGTTCTTCTTATCCACATTAGCACCATACCTCAAGTACAAGTGGGCATGCTCATAAAGCCCGTGCTTAGCTGCTATGTGAAGTGGTGTTTCTTGGGTGTCTTCACTTGGCAGGTCAACTTTAGCACCGTATTTCACTAGAAGCTTCGCACATCTGGAAAAAAAGGGTAACATTAACACTTAAGGGAGGAGAACTGGAAAGTGAATTTTTGAGTCAGAAGCTGGCTTCATTCCATTATTTGGCTATCTTTTCCGCATCCTATTAATCAGAGCACTAAGATTATCCCCGACACTAGAGAAAATAAGTCTGCCAGCCTCTAGCTTGTTGGGTGAAGGCTACTAACTTTCACCAGGGCTTGTTCACATAATTCAGGTGCCGCTAGTAGGACAGGTCAGTAGGTTGAAGGGATAGATATGATGCCATTCAGGCTGGCATGGTTAAATTAGACCTTTATGTTGTACCAATGTATATTCAAAACAAATGTTTGGCATTTATTTAAAAAGGAACTGAAATGTAACTTGAAGATGGACATGCATGACAGTTACTTCTGGGTTATTTACTCTGCATTTAACCACTGTGTAAAATCACAGCAGGGTCCCTGCTGGACACATGACCTCAACTTCAGAAGTAATCTGCAATATGCATTATTACAGTGTCTCACCACTAGGTGCCAGAGGAGTCAGTAATACCATGTTTGTATAGAGTAAACACTTACCTCTGGGACAAAACTGACTAGAGCTGTAGACACACAATTTTACACCAGTGTATCTTAAATGGATGTGTAATTGCTTTTCACTTTCTAAGATGTAACTGTGCCCTGGAGTGGTATATACACTGGTAAAATGCTATACTTTGTGTGTCCATTCCACTTTTATCCCAGAGGTAAATCAAATTACTGTAGAGTAAATACATGTATAGCATGCCCACACCTTCAATCATGTTTTCTTTAAGTACTGACTGTTTGTTCAGTTCATAGAAATAAGGGCAGGTGTTGTGCTGAGGAGTTTGCAGTACCACTGACAAAAAAGGCAGACAGCTAAGTTAGGACACCAGGATGGAGGAGAATTTTGTGAGCTCTTTTTCTTCTTTGATCAGAGATTCTCAACCAGGGCACCACAACGCCTGAGATCCTTTTAAGGGTGACACTGTTAGATGTACAAATACCTACACGTGATTTGTAAGATAAACCTAGAGATTTCAAATAGGAATCCATAGTGTCAAAAACATTCTGACCTGCTATAGTCTTTCTGAGTTCTTTACAACAGAAGAATTGCTATGTTATTTTCCTGCAGTCAAAAAAACAAATAAAAACCAAGAACTGGCATTTTCTGAGGAGTGCCTTGAGCCTCACAAAGGGTGCCTTGAGTCTAAAAAGGCTGAGAACCACTGTTTTAAATAGTATGTCACTTGTAACTTAAGGACAATGCAGAAGTTGCAAATATTTTGCAGAGTTCTGAGTGAGGAGCTGGGAGATGCTTGGCAAACTGGGGTGGGGAATACAATCCAAATGATTTATCTTGGGCAGAACAGAGAGGGATGAGACCCAAGGTCTGAGACACAGTTGCATACAGACTTTTGAATGGGCAACTCAGGTGTTTTAACTTCCTAAGTGTAAGATCAGTAGGACAATGGAACAAGCTGCCGACAGATGTTGTAGACTCTCCATCACTGACAATTTCTAAGAGGTTGGATAGATATCAATAGTATAAGGCATCCATCTTGGACAGTTTAGGAGCAGATAATCTTGCATGTATGCAGGGGGTTACACTAGATGACCCTTGAGGTCCTTTCTAAAAATATGCAGTGAGGAGTTTAATGAAATGGAGGGATTATATAGGGGGATATGATTAGCAGGTATGGAAGATGGCTTTGGCATTTATGCTTGTAAGCAAGGATAATCAGGAACTAGGGTTTAGTAGCATCTCCCACCCCTTGAAATGAGGAGCTTGGAAACATACTGTTGTAACCTGGGTATACCCAAAGGTATACTCAATCGAATGGGATGGGTAGGCAGGAGGCGGTGCTGTGAGAGGGATGCTAGAATTTAGGGCGGATCCTCTTTCATTTATAGAGTTAGCCCAGGCCCAAAGTTCTTAACTATATACATTTTATTGAGTTGCAAACATTTACATGTATAAAACTCTTTAAAATAGATACAGGTATAGGTACAAATATACATATAACAGTCTGTTAGCAAGAGGACGTCTGCCCCAGCGAGGGCATTCAGGTAAGTACTTGTGCCCCAGACCCAGAAGAGGGGTGGATTCCGGGACAGTCAATCCAGCAAGTCTATATTGCAAGTGAGTTAGCTAATAAAGACATCCTTACAGAGCCCATTATACAGAATTAATACACCCAACTATTTATAACACCAACAATAGCAATAGATACCAAATAAGAAGCATAACTGTACCAGATATTAGACACCCCCTATCTGGGTTCCAACCATGTGGTCCCTCAAATGGCATAGGATCTTCTCCCCCTAGGCCCCCTGGGTGTTCCACAGTGTGGATTTGGGGTATCCTCCCCTTCTACCCTGGGGAATGGAGGATGTGTGGGGCCTTCCCCCCTGCCCACTCCTCACAGGGTTCCTTGTAGGGCTGTGCAAAGCTTCAGGTGGTGATTCAATTTGAAGGAGATTCAGCCCAATTCGGTGGCCGAATCTCCGAATCTGAATCGAATTGGGACCAATTAAAAGGTCCAAATCAATTTGAAGCTTTCCAAATCTTTGGAAAAGATTCGGAGAGCTTTGATGATTTGGACAGTCCCCAGTGGCTGCAGCAGGGAGCTGCAGCTGGACTTGGAGCTGGTAAGTAGGGGGCAGGGGAAGGGAGCTTGGGGGAGAGAGGAGGAGACTATCGGGGGACCTCTGCCAACCCCCATCGCCTGCCTGCTTCCCCAGCCCCCTGACCTCCACCCGCTTCCTCAGCCCCCCCATGGCTGCCCTGCCCACCCCAGCTCCCGGCCAGCCCTTTAAAGAAAAGGCCTGGTAGTCACTGGGTGCTCCCAGGTGGGGGGTGATCCTGACTGCCCCCCACTGGTCCATGCTGCATGGGGGGGCTCTGCCACGAGCCCCCTGACCCTCCTTTCACTCTCCCAGCCCCCCCACGGGTGCCCCGCTTGGGCCAGCTCCAGCCCTTTAAGAAAAAAAACAAAACGGAGAGAAGCCCCGGGATTCACCGCTCCTGCAGCGGCCTTGGGGCTTTGGGGGCCTCATGCAGAGCCCCCCATTGGGCAGTGGGGGGTAGCGGGGATCACCTCCTGCTGGCAGGAGTGGTGAGTCCCAGGGTTTTCTGTTTTTTTCTTAAAGGGCCGGAGCTGGGGCGGGCAAGGCAGCCATGGGGGGGACTAGGGGAGCAGGGGGGCTCAGGGAACTCGTGCAGAGCCCCCCCATGCAGCGTGGGGCAGTGGGGGGCAGCAGGGGTTGATCCCCCGCCCAGCAGCACCTGCTCCAGTGAGTTCAGTTTTTTTTCAAAGTGCTGGGAGCTGGGGCAGGCGGAGCAGCCATTGCCGGGCTGGGGAGGATGGTCCTGGCTGATTTGGAGATTTGGCACTAGCCAAATCTCCGAATCAGACTCCGCCAAATTGATTTGGGGTAGTGATTTGAATCAATGAATCAAATCACTGCCCCTTGAATCGCCCGACTCCAAATCCGAAGCGAATACTAGCTGCTTCGCACAGGCCTAGTTCCTTGCTCGGGGGCACCTCCCCTGTGGGACCCGGGTTCCCGGTAACTCACGGTTCTTCTACTGGGGGCTGTTGATCTGGCCTCTGGGTCTCCGCACCATCTCAGGCCTCCTGAGGCTATTGGCCTGGAGCTGGCAGCCCTTCCCTCTGGACCCTGTGCCCCACGCTGGGCACCTAGGGAGCTCCTCTGGGCGCTGAGCCCTCACTGGCTCCAGTCCCTGCCTCATGCTGGGGGTCTTTCCCCTTCCTGGACCCTGCTTTGGCCACCGGGGCTCTTTTAGTTCAATGCTGAGCCACACTGTGGGGCTGTGGCTATCTGGGCTAAAGCTGGGGAAGGGGGGAGGGGCTAACTTGAGCAGCTTTGAGCTGCTCTTGGGGTCGACTCTGTGCACCGACCTGCACACTGTGTGGGGCACGAGCAGCCTTGAGCTGCTCCCAGGGCCGGTTCCCCATGTGCCAATTCATGCACCGCCCCAACCGGCCGCTTGCCAGGTTCGCAGGCTCAAGCTGCCTTGCCATGTGCCGATCTGTGCACTATTGAGGCTCAGGCGGGGCCCTCACAGTAGTCTCTCCAGAGCTCCTCTCTCCTTGCCATCCCTCGCCGCATCTCTCTCATGTGGCTCATGCCGCTCCTTTTATTCCCTCAGAGGGCTCCCTGAAGTCCAGCAGACCTGCAGTTTGCGGGTCCCAATTAGGTCCGGGTGCTCGTCACCCCTCCCTTCAGGGTAGGGGTGGTGCCAGCTCCTCCCAACTCTTCCCCAGTTGGTGGTTGGGCTCCACCAATCGGAATGAAGAATTCTCTGCCAGAGCTGCAGCGGGGGCTTGAGCGGGTGAGTCTGCCACAACTGTATGAAGTAACACTGCTGTGTGTGGAAGGTGGTCCATTCGCAAGTGATCAACCTGCCCAGAATAAGCACTGCTGAGGACAGGCCAGATGTCTACCTGATGGGATGGTCTCAGGTACTTGACATTTTCAGTAAACGCTCCTTGTTCTATGGTCCAGCTCCCTCTCAATGCCTGAAGGGCAGTGAGTTTAAAAGCTATGAGTATTTAGATTTGTTAAATCTCCTCAGGAGTTTTTCAGTTTCCAGTCCCTTCCATTGGCTCCCAAGAAGCTATCTGAATCACTAGCTTTTTTGAGTTCCTCCTTAAAAATCCCAGCATGAAATGATCCCTGAACACTGCATCATGGTAGGGTTGGTCTCTTTGTTTTTCTTGCCTGGCAGAGATGCGGCTTTGGCAGTAATGGCCAGCCTAGAGATGGGTGTGGGATGGGGATTCTGGCTTCCTCCTCCTAGAAAATACCAGGGAGGAAGGGAAACAGTCATAGAAATCTCTATGCCTCCTTCAGAAGTTACGGCAGGACCAGGGAACGGGAGTATCAGGAGTAGGGAAGAGAAGGTGAAAACTTGATGGAGTTAGTGGAAGCTGGAGAATGCAAATGGGAATTAGAGAGGATTATGGTA